AAACCCAGTCTAAAAAGCTCGACATTTTAATGAAATTTTGTTTTAATTTCTCCAACTTCTCTATAAACTTTGTATATATTTAAAATAAAACACCATGCACCCGGTTTTGATCGCCAGTGTAGTAGTAATAAGCGAAGTTTTTTGTTTTTGTTTTGTTTGAATGGAATATTTTGTTTTTTTATTTACGTTATACTTTATTTATTAATACATATTTTGTATGAAATTTAACGTGTTAGTAAATATTTCGCGAGTTGGTTGGCAGAAAAAATCCTGGCCAAGATATATTTAATTAATTGTTCAATAATTATTATTTTTTTTTTTGCACCAATTTGTTTAATGAACCAATTACATGTATACCAATCGAAAGCATAAAGCCTATAGAATGTGAAAACGTTGGCCAACCCGATAGGTACGGCAGGAATTAAATAGACAACAAATGTTTTAAAATAAACACATTCTCACTTTCAAGTAAATTAATTTTCAATAAAAGACTAAAACCTTTTTGAAATAAGTTTTATTAAAGTTAAGTTAACCCTTTCCTTTTGAATTTTTCTTAAAAACTAAAACAACGGTTACAAACGTTACAATTCAATGTCTGCATATACATAGTGGGCGACAAAAGTCTAGGTACAGCCAATTTTTCGCAATGAATGCAAAGCTTTTTACCCCATTTTTATCGCTTATGTTTTATAAAAATATTTAAATTTCCATAGAAACTTGCAACTTAGACTTATGTACATATATGATTTTTGTTAGATAATTAGCTGTATTTTTATAAAAAAATAATAAACATTAAACAAACAAAAGAATAATTGCCAAAACTGTTCAAAATATCGTGTCCCTATTATTTTCCACATGACAATATATATATAGGTTAGCATCTATAATTTTCTAATGGGATGTAAGTTGTATATCAAACTATATGTTGTTACCTTAATTCCCAAAGGCCCTAACCAACACTTTTTTCGAAACCGCGTTTTTCACAGATTTTTGTAGGAGGTATTGAAAGACGCGTTCAGTAAAAAACTGTGGCCAGCGTTACTGGAGTTGGACTTACGATGGCTATTTTTTTATGAAGAAATTACCTCGACGTCGAAGTCGACAACCATGATAGGGCCGATTATAAAAACTATCAAAAACAGGTAGGGCTTTTTAAATAGTGGCTGTAACTCCGTTTTGGTACTTACACTTTAAAATTTTTACTGAACGCGTCTTGTAATACATCCTACAAAAATCTGTGAAAAACGCGGTTTCGAAAAAAGTGTTGGTTAGGGCCTTTGGGAATTAAGGTTACGATATGTGGGTATTCACCAAATTGACCAAGTGGCCTGGCACTCTGGCAAAAGAGCAG